CCTTGAAGGCGAGCTTCTAACAATAAATGAATAATTGTGATAATCTTACCTAATGGCTCGCCTTAAGCACAATGAGATTTCATACGGTGCTTCAGAGCTGACGGAAATTCTGAAATTCTGAATATCGTCAATATTGTGCTGCCTATGTTTAAGTTTAGCAGTTTCCGATTCTAGATTGTGAATTCCAACTCCGTTACTTATATCGTCAATATTGTGCTGCCTATGTTTAAGTTTAGCAGTTTCCGATTCTAGTTTGTGAATTCCAGCTCCGTTACTTATAGATATTGTTACGCTGAAGTTAAAAAATATGGGCGAGTTTTCGTACCTTATTCGGCTAGAAACGATTTCAACAAGCTCAACAAACCATGGTTGGGATATGGTGCTGAAATGGATAAGACTATCCAGTTGAAGGTGAATACTTTACGCGATGGTTTACTACATTTAGCCCTTCCCTATTTAGTTAGGGGAGGAGTTGCTTGTCCCTTCTCTATTTGGTCAGGGGAGGAGTTGCTTGTATTCTGTGCTTGTGTCAGTAGAGCTGCTACCTCAACTTCCAAATGGAAGAATTTGTTTGTGCATCCACTGTACCGAAATGTCTCGTTAGTCTCAATACGATGATAGGTAGGAGCGCGTAGATACTTCCCCATCCGACCGATCGAAGGGCTAAAAGCGCGGGTTTTGCGACTGGATCGCGAAATGAGCCTGGCCTAAGCGATGTATCCTGATAGCATAGGTGCTGGTTTGAATCCCGTCGAAAACCACGCGTTTTTTTTCGCTGATGGGCATCCTTGTGTCTTCAATGTAAATTCCAACCAGGTGCTGTGATTCTGGAGAGAGAGAGGGGGTGATTGTAAGGAAGTATAAGGGTCTTACTGATTATTGTTGTGATTCAGATTTTTCGCCAACCCGACATCAAGAATTGCCGATATGTTGCCTGGAGTATAAATATGAATCTTGTAGATGAGAAGAAAGGTTTTGAAAAAGTTCCCGATAGAGCCAATGGTCAGGTAGGTGATTGTGTGGAATAGTTGGAGCTGGCAAAAAGTGAGATAAAATCCATTCGGATTCTGTAAAAACTCGTGATCTGTGAGGGTGATCACAGTTTTTTGATAATTCGAATTCACGCTGTATTGGAAGATTGCTGCTGTGAGGGTGTGATGCGGCTAAATGACCGACGAAAATTGTTCAGAGCAATTACAGTTATTGGTTCCCAAACTGGAGAATTTATTTTGCATATTTAGATCGGTGTTATTGTTGTTATTCCATCGGATGGCGATTTAACCGTATATTCTTCGGTGAGTTTTATCTCTTTTAACTTTTCTCCACAAGGAAGGTAAGAAGGTGATTTCTGCAGATTTTACATTTTTGCCTTTTATACAGTTCTGATATGGACCTGAGAAGCGCTTTTATCTAATAGTAAGATTCACTGCTCCCTTCTTTCAATAGCTGCAGTGGCGTGCCACTTCGTCCGGTCAAAAGTGCTGGGGAACCGGCCTGGAAAGCAATAATGCTCCGTTGTCGTTTCCATACTCCAGGTGCGCTGTTGAACCCCAGGCATACGCGACGCCTGTTGAACCCCAGCAGCTACGCGCCACCGCCTACCCATAGACCAAACACGCACCTCTCGCCTTCCCTTCATACTTATACTGGTGATTCTCTATCTTCCTGTCTGCGTGATCGCTGCGTATGTTGGTACTTGGCACAAGTGCTGTCAATTGAGGAGCGCAGGTTAGGTCAGACGGCGCTCGGGTATCGCCACCCAGCAAATCGGCTGATTTGCAGCTGACCCATCTGGGATGGCAAAAACAGTGACTACTCGTGGGCTACACTTCTCTAATCATTGCGCAAAGCAAAAAAAGAGAAGAAAACAACGACACATCAAATGTCACCACTATTCAAAATGGAGCACTCGGATCGAGGTGTCGAATGGAAGTCGGGTGCATGGCGCATGCGATCTCCATCTGAACTCCCACCGCTGCTCTTTGTTTCTTTACTTTGGCTTTGGCGTATGGAGAGCAGTGGGATTCCGGAAACTTGATATTCTTTGTTTTCAGACCGGAGTAATGAAATTTCTTTTTCAAAGAGTCTGCATGGACGCCGTTCTTTCTCAAAGAAGGGCGTCCATTAGACTCTCATCTATATTTGCGAAGACCAAGCGTAGGTCGAAGTTTTTTGGTAACAGAGTTTGTACAAGCTTCAATTCCCTTTTGCGGAGCAATGTGTTACAGTCGAAATATCAAAGTTTCAAAAGACATTTTGGAGATTTTGTCGAGATGTGAAGTTCGTGTCCAGTTATAATTTGCTATATAGGAGATTTCGTGAAGATAAAGTTAGTGTTCAGTTGTATAATCTGGTTCAGTTACTTGATTGTGTTGTAGTTTTATTTGTTGAATGTGCCTTGCACGGTCAACTGAATAAATAATCATAAAAAATAATGAGTGGCCGTCCTCACCTGCTGACCTTTCTTATTAGTGTTTTATTTCTTGGGTCAGTAACATTGCTCAACATTTTCTTCCATTTTATTGTTGGTGATTGTTTGATTTAATTCCAGCAATCTGGGAAAGCAACATTACCTGCGTATTTGCGAGAATCGTGGATGAGTATTGGAACGTGTATTCGCTATGACGTTGTTAAACAAGTTGATACGGAGTCAAAAGCTATCTGGATAGTGCGGAACGTTGAAAATCTTGGACTGGTGAGTGCAGAGCTATTATATCCCGTGAATGGCGGATCGCTAAGTGAAATTGGAGAGTTGATTCGCGAGATATGAAACCCAGATTCAGTTACTGAAATGAAATGAAAGGGGACCACTGGTAGTCTCCGCGATTTCTAGAATGCCTAATGACGGGGTTATCGAGCAGTGACCAGGCCTGTCATGCACGATGGCAGCGAGCTCTGATCTATGCTCAAGAAATGAAACGCTGACGCCTGCGGCGCGGGCGCCAGGTGTTTGGCCTTAAGTGGATGTGACATTGATGATAATGGAGCTAGATTATTCTCGCGATCGAAGTGGAGCCTAGTATAAGGACGAACTTCGGTGAATAAAGATTGAATTGAGAAGAGTGAAGCAATGGAGGTGTTAATAATTCTGGATATACGTTTCACCATATGACTTTTCAGTTATATGAAATTATTGTTGATAATAAGGATCCGTGCAAATTATTGTTGCGTTTGAATGCTGTTGTTAATCGAGTCTCATCTAGTACGCATAATGCATGGCTATGGAACGATATTATTGGTAGGTAAAGATTCTTCTTGTGTTATAAATGGAGCTGATATAATGACAAGGGGTCTCTCATAGTCCCGGTGGCAATATTCAAGTCCCTCTGGCCAGCAGCAATTCATCCTTTCGGGGTGTTTTGAGCGATACTATGTTTGCTTGGGACGAAAACCGTGTAGGCCTAGTTGTGTGCAAATACCATTAGGATTTTGGGTGAAAATGAGTGTGTGGCGCATTCAAGACAGGTTTTGATTAGCTTGTTCCAAGTTTAGTTTTTTTCAGTTGTTGATGTTTATGCTCAGAGTTCTAAAGTGTTTGTCTCGATAACTTCGTCGCGAGAACGATTTCATTCAGGGTAGATCTTTGTCTACTCAACAGTTCAGTCATGTATTCAGCAAGTGTGCAATGAATTGTGGAGGATAGTTGCAGTCAGATGGCGTACATTTGAATACGTATCTATGGACTGCAACAGATCTGCGAAGTGAGAGTTGTGTTCCACTGTCTTCTTGCTTTAGTTTCAAATGTCGGCGTATTCAGTGTTCTTAGTTGTTCAACTTATTTTGCTTATGAACATCGGAGGTATTTTCGCAGGGCCATGTGGCAGTTTTATGACTGGTGAGGATGCCTCTCTCGGCGCATCAGGAATTGGCATGCTTTTTTGTTTTGCATACTATTTTTGATTCTGAGCGCCAAATGTGAACCTGTTGGTTTCTCATGCAACACACATCACGAACGTTTTGGTTATATTATTTATTTATTTGTTTATTCATTTATTTATTAACCAGTCGGATCGCCCGGCTAACGCCGAGCTCTCCTCCTTCTTGGAAGCCCGGCTTCGCCGGGCTCAAGCAACTGCTTTAGAGCCTCACTTCTTAACTCGTGAAAGAAAGGAACAAAGTTAGGCATAAGCAGGGCGTACTACTGTGTTTAGCAATTTATTGGTGCTCATGGTGCCCTAAGGCGTAATCTTGATGTCTTCTAATCAAATAAATGTAGGAACGCGCCATATAGTCGCAGGGCACTTCACTTTTATAATGAAAGGTTTGAAATCTGGTCATGGATAATCGATTACTGTCCTCCCCATCTTATGACAGCCACGGATTCTTCGGTCTCCGCAGTCGCTGCGTGCTCCTGTTCAGGAGCGTCGGTCGCGCCAATATGGTACCCCTTCACCTCACTATCCCAACTAACCTAACTATTCCGCTCAGCCACCTACAGGTCACACTCAGCTGCTACGCGAATAGCCCGTGCAATGGTTCTGAGTGCACTAAATGGTTGTGTTATGTTGTGGAGGGTGTTATGACTATCAAACGCTACCACAATTTGATAATGCAACATTAATCGGTTCAGTTCCGATTGCGGTCGATCCATTTTCTCCCCATCTTGTCGCAACCGTAGACGCCTTACCGCCGCAGGGGCTATGTGCTCCTAATCGCGAAATCGCCGTTCTCATCTGGTATCCCCTCACCACATCATATCCCACTGACCCTATTTAACCGGCACCCACCCCCGCACGTGGTATGCAGCCGCCATGCAACATAGGGACACTACTCCGCCACTGTTCTTGCCTCCTTCCCCTGCATGGGCTCTGATCCGACTGAGTACGCGCCAAGGGCAGTGAGATGGGAGAAGGGGTCATCGTATAACTCCCACCTTCCTCACCTCACCCCATTCCGTACTCGCCATTCCCCCCCCCCCCCACCCCACCTTGCCCCTTGCACGCGCTTACGTCCAACTGCCACGCGAGCAACCCGTACAATGGCTCGGAGTGTAGTGGTTTTCTTATATAGTGGAGAGTGTTATCACAACCAAAACAACTTCTTAGTTCGTTACGGTAACATAGATTGGCTTGCAGTTTTGTTAGCGGTTGTTTCCTCATCCCTTGGTGCGCGTTTCTACTGAAACGCGCGCTACGCACCCTCACTGTACCCCCTCCCCGCGACCCTCCCTCTGCCTCCTCCCATACAGTGCTCTGCTCGGCTGAGCTACGTGCAGGAGAGGAGCAGGGCGACCCGGTACCCCCACCCTGCCCCCGCACGAGCACACGTCCAGCTGCCACGCCAGCAGCTCGTGCAATGGCTCGGAGTGTACCGAATGGTTGTCTTATATAGCGGAGGCTGTTATCACAATCAAATCATTGGACTGCTACATCCTCCCAGTCGGTTACCGGTTTGCCTAGCGGTCGTTTTCGCCTCCAGCGAACTCGAACCCGTGAAGTATTTTGCGGACGGACAGACAAACATACATACATACATACATACAAACATACAAACCGACACAAAGTTACTGGTTTATAGAATGAAAG